CCTTTGCCAATTTTTACTAGAAATTTTTATAGGCCCAATTTCACACTCATTTCCTTAGCCATATACATAAATGAGTCAATATATATATAAGCACATATATTCAATCATCCACATATATTCAACCATCCCACATAGACATTCTAGGCTAAGAATATACCCAAGTAGGAGAACCCCCTACCTTAATAGAAGTGTAGAGACTTCTATTCCACCAAAATAAGCCCCAAAGTTTTTATCCTCTAAGACTTTGTCTTTGAATCTTTGGTGAAAGTCTTCATTTTTGGTACCCACACGTAGCCCTCGTCGCGTAGATCGACTTTAGTTCTTGGTCTGACAGATTCCGACCAACGAATCTTGAAAAATCGTCAGAAGAAAACTTGAAAAAACACACNTTTAGTTATTGGTCTGACAGATTCCGACCAACAGATCTTGAAAAATCGTCGGAAGAAAACTTGAAAAAACACATTTTATCTCTTTCTCTCTTCTCACGCCTGAACCAGCCAGTCTCTTGGGGAAGAAAATCTCATTTTTTTTCAAATATTATGCCCCTTTTATACTTTTAAAGACTTAGCCCTCGTCGCGCCAAGTGTCCTTTTTTATTCGGGTCCATTTTTTGCTCCGAAACGATTAAATTTTGTACCGGTTTAAGCTCAAATATTTTATATGAACTTTATTTAAAATATTTTCTAAATATCAAAATTTTTATAAAAATTTCGTTTTTAGGGGTCACCGAACACCTGTCACCTCGAAAAACGTGAAAAACCCGACTATCTCAAAATTCGACAAAATTTTTCTGGGTAACTAGATCTCGCGAGACGAACCCAACGGTAAAGTCCATTTCATCATCTGAGGGCTAGAAAAATATCAATTTTCAACCCGCGCTATAATTACAAATTACCATTTTGCCCTTTTTTCAGAAAAAGTTAAAATTTTTCCCGGGTTTCACATTATAAGCTTTATAATCATTCATCTTAGTTAAGCTAATCACTTAATTCTTTTGTTTTAGTTGAGATTTGTATTTTATGGTNTACTAGACTCATCCCAGGGATCGATCATTAGAGTTTGAGTTCAAATCTCATTATCATAGCCCTGTTAAACTGTGGTTCTAATTGCTTATTATGACATGTTAAGAATTTCAATAATTTATGGTGTTACGTGTTCAAATTAATAAGCAAGGGGCAAACTATCGTTTAGAGGGAAAGGCAACCCTTTTCATCACCTCACTAATGGTTTTTTTTGTTATACGTGCGACGATTAATCACTATTATAAGTATATTATATGNAGACAACCACGATAATCGATCGAGTTACAAAACAATATACTCTTCCTACGCTTTGGAATTCCTATATAATTTAATTAACTCTAAGGAGCAAGCATTTTATTTACACGTGCCCATTTCCTAGTTATGATGCATGCAGGTATGATATCTTCCATCAGCAATCCTGGCACAATTTTTTTTTTTGGGGGGGAAGGTCTATCTCGTCTAAATTTATCAAAGTTTTGTCCCAACATAATTAGGTCAGCAAAAAAGTTCTATATTGGAAAAAATTAAAAAGCGGGTGCTAAAATTAAGACAAAATAAAGTTTAGGGGTCTGAATTAAAATTTGTTGTTTTAGTGTACACTTGCGTATCAGTCAATATGTGTGTGTTTTGGTATATTAATTTGTGTTAACACAATGTGTTTGTTATAAAGTATTAGTGTGTGTGTGTGTGATTGTTTGCTTGGTTTTATTACTTTTGTTATTTATTTAAAAAGACAAGTACTCAACCTTTTGAAAGCAATTGAACAAAGGAACTATAGCAAAGTCCATGATACGGATGGTGAAAAGACTAGAGGAGGGAAAATGTAGATGTGAACTGAACTATGAACGGGACATATTTGGAGCTATTACCAGAATTTGGTCAAGACCTTCAACAACTAGGAGTAGATAAAGCCAGACTCCTGGAGTCAATGATTTATGTGGGTTTGGGCATCTCTCTCTCTCTCTCTCTCGTAGGCCTAATAATTGAATTGAGCTACTCGAGTTCGACTCAGATAGAACTCGATTTTTCCTCAACTCGTATTCTAAATTAGTCAATTTTAAATAATTTTTTAAGCTCGCTTAGAAAATAAGCCTAAAAAAATTGATTCGAACTCACAAAGCTCGATTCAATTATATGTAAAATAATCAAAAAACTCGAGTTCGACTCTACTCAGACTCCACTCATTTTATAAACGAGTCAAACTTAAAGAATTTTTTTAACTCATTTAAAAAAATTGAGCTTGACATGACTCGATCTCATAAAACTCAGCTGGATTATCAGCCTTACTTGAGAATGCCCTCTTAAAAGTAATAATGAAAAATCTTTTTTATTGCGTTATTATTAGTAGTAAGTAACGCAACATGGACGGTTATAATTGAAAAGATTTGACAAATTTTGGATAACATGAATTCGATAGGACACAATCCAATACTAGCATTAATAGTGGTTGTACTAGACTCATCCCAGGGATCGATCATTAGAGTTTGAGTTCAAATCTCATTATCAGAGCCCTGTTAAACTGTGGTTCTAATTCCTTATTATGACATGCTAAGAATTTCAATAATTTATGGCGTTACGGGTTCAAATTAATAAGTAAGGTGCAAACTATCGTTTAGAGGGAAAGGCAACCCGTTTCATCACCTCACTAATGATTTTTTTTGTTATACGTGCGACAATTAATCACTATTATAAGTATATTATATCACTGTTTACAATGAAATCTGAATGAATAAAAAACCCGATTACTATTGCAAGTCTCATAACTCACTGTACAGTGAAGTCTAAATGAATTACAAAGCCCGTAATAAGAGCCATATAAACTCCCAAAGAAAAGGAACAAAAAAAAAAGTATGATANTGTTGTTTTAGTGTACACTTGCGTATCAGTCAATATGTGTGTGTTTTGGTATATTAATTTGTGTTAACACAATGTGTTTGTTATAAAGTATTAGTGTGTGTGTGTGNAAAAAAAGTTCTATATTGGAAAAAATTAAAAAGCGGGAGCTAAAATTAAGACAAAATAAAGTTTAGGGGTCTGAATTAAAATTTGTTGTTTTAGTGTACACTTGCGTATCAGTCAATATGTGTGTGTTTTGGTATATTAATTTGTGTTAACACAATGTGTTTGTTATAAAGTATTTGTGTGTGTGTGTGATTGTTTGCTTGGTTTTATTACTTTTGTTATTTATTTAAAAAGACAAGTACTCAACCTTTTGAAAGCAATTGAACAAAGGAACTATAGCAAAGTCCATGATACGGATGGTGAAAAGACTAGAGGAGGGAAAATGTAGATGTGAACTGAACTATGAACGGGACATATTTGGAGCTATTACCAGAATTTGGTCAAGACCTTCAACAACTAGGAGTAGATAAAGCCAGACTCCTGGAGTCAATGATTTATGTGGGTTTGGGCATCTCTCTCTCTCTCTCTCTCTCTCTCTCTCTCTCTCTCTCTCTCTCTCTCTCTCTCTCTCGGTAGGCCTAATAATTGAGTTGAGCTACTCGAGTTCGACTCAGATAGAAATCGATTTTTTCTCAACTCGTATTCTAAATTAGCCAATTTTAAATAATTTTTTAAGCTCGCTTAGAAAATAAGTCTAAAAAAATCNTCTCTCTCTCTCTCTCTCTCGTAGGCCTAATAATTGAATTGAGCTACTCGAGTTCGACTCAGATAGAACTCGATTTTTCCTCAACTCGTATTCTAAATTAGTCAATTTTAAATAATTTTTTAAGCTCGCTTAGAAAATAAGCCTAAAAAAATCGATTCGAACTCACAAAGCTCGATTCAATTATATGTAAAATAATCAAAAAACTCGAGTTCGACTCTACTCAGACTCCACTCATTTTATAAACGAGTCAAACTTAAAAAAATTTTTTAACTCATTTAAAAAAATGAGCTTGACATGACTCGATCTCATAAAACTCAGCTGGATTATCAGCCTTACTTGAGAATGCCCNGATTCGAACTCACAAAGCTCGATTCAATTATATGTAAAATAATCAAAAAACTCGAGTTCGACTCTACTCAGACTCCACTCATTTTATAAACGAGTCAAACTTAAAGAATTTTTTTAACTCATTTAAAAAAATNAATTATATGTAAAATAATCAAAAAACTCGAGTTCGACTCTACTCAGACTCCACTCATTTTATAAACGAGTCAAACTTAAAAAAATTTTTTAACTCATTTAAAAAAATGAGCTTGACATGACTCGATCTCATAAAACTCAGCTGGATTATCAGCCTTACTTGAGAATGCCCTCTTAAAAGTAATAATGAAAAATCTTTTTTATTGCGTTATTATTAGTAGTAAGTAACGCAACATGGACGGTTATAATTGAAAAGATTTGACAAATTTTGGATAACATGAATTCGATAGGACACAATCCAATACTAGCATTAATAGTGGTTGTACTAGACTCATCCCAGGGATCGATCATTAGAGTTTGAGTTCAAATCTCATTATCATAGCCCTGTTAAACTGTGGTTCTAATTGCTTATTATGACATGTTAAGAATTTCAATAATTTATGGTGTTACGTGTTCAAATTAATAAGCAAGGGGCAAACTATCGTTTAGAGGGAAAGGCAACCCTTTTCATCACCTCACTAATGGTTTTTTTTGTTATACGTGCGACAATTAATCACTATTATAAGTATATTATATCACTGTTTACAATGAAATCTGAATGAATAAAAAACCCGATTACTATTGCAAGTCTCATAACTCACTGTACAGTGAAGTCTAAATGAATTACAAAGCCCGTAATAAGAGCCATATAAACTCCCAAAGAAAAGGAACAAAAAAAAAAGTATGATACAATCCTCAAAGAGATAGACAAAAACAGATCAATCTCGTCTTTGGCAGGATTCACCCCCTAGCGTAGACGACCCGTTACAATGACTAAGTCTATGTAATTACCTGAAGGCCAATGCACAATGCCACATTCCTGTCCGCATCACTCAACTCCTTCGACTTCTATGGATAGTCTACAAAATTCGTAATTTTTGAACTTATAGTTCAAAATTCACCATCTGAATTTCGGATCAAATCAAGTGTAGGATAAGAATCGTGCAGCCAAGAGATTATTTTCATTACTAGCTTTGAAATGAACCAATTTGAGCTAAGCATTATGTTGTTTATTCTCGGATCGTTCATTTACAAAAGAGGATTTGGGAGCTTCAAACATATTGTCCAAACTCAGCTTGTCAGTTTTTTCTCCAAACTCGGCCTAGGATTAGCTGATTAAATGACAGAGCTTGAGCCAGTGTTCTAGCCTAAGCTTGAGTTTAGCACCTCGTATTCAGGATTAGAATCGGTTCATTCATATGTGTTATTCGTGTGTTTTATATATGACACATTATATTAGGTGTTATCTACATATTGCTCACAAACCTAACAAACCACTGCATGGACTCGGCTCGGTAATTGAACGAGTTTCAAAGTTGGATTCCAACTCGATTCATTTTTTAACTAAATGAATTAAAATGAGGTTTAATCCAAGCCCATCCTGATTATTTATCCATAGCTCATTTTATTTGTAGTTCTAGACTTTGCTCGTTGTTTAATCTTGAAATTTACACAAGTGATGCAACTTTATCATTCGATGCTTACCATACGACTAATTTGAACCGAAATGAGCGGGATGATTAGTCTACAAGAAGACGACATCAGAATAGGATGGTAGACTTGTTCTGATTGCATGTGTCTATCATATTCATTGACCCAAGTTTGTATAGATTTCTCGCAATGGCATTGACAATAAGGTGTTTTAGAAATTGTTCGTTAATTGAAAATATGTGCTTTAAGAAGTACAGGATGTTGATTGACAAGCACATATAATTCTAACAAAAATTCTTTTGACAAAAGCTTCACTGCTCCTTAATATCTTCTTTATAATTCCATAACCTGTGTGGATTCATCGTTTTTAAGTCTAGCTCCTACCTTAGTCTACCACATTGACATATCACACATACCCTAATGGAGACCACATCCATCCTTCTTTCTTTTGTAGTGTTGTTGCCACACTATCTTCTTGCATCTTCAGCATTGCCTACAACCACCGCTACTGCCACCGCCAACGATGAAATTGCTCTACTTGCCTTAAAAGACCATATTACCCTTGACCCACATGCAGCCTTGGCCAAAAACTGGACCAATGAGTCCTCCATTTGCAACTGGATTGGGGTAACTTGCACCTCTCGGTCTCAACTCCCAAGAGTCACTGCCCTGAATCTCTCTCACAAGGACCTAGAAGGGACACTTCCTACCCATCTAGCAAACCTCTCCTCCCTCATTTTGCTAGATATTAGCAACAATAGTTTCCATGGCCAACTTCCACAAGAGTTGGCTCATTTGCAGAGACTAAAAACATTAAATTTGCAATTTAACTTCTTCACCGGCGGAGTTTTGCCATGGTTGGGAGGTTTGCCTGAGCTACAACATTTGCTACTTGCAGGCAACAATTTTACAGGTACAATATCAGAGAAAAGAGAAGTTTTTCAAATTTTCATTTGTCTTCTTTTTTTTTATTTGCGGAAACAAGCCTCTGTGCGATAAGTATAGTTATGAGAATCCCGATCTGCATCCTAGGACCTTACGATCCGTTACAAACAAATCGATTAGAGTCTGCTATAAAATCCCAAATTCATAAGATCTTAATGGATAACAATCCGGATCTTATAGGATCGTAGGAACTCGATCTAAACTGTGAATTTACCAATTCAAGCCGTTAGTTTATATTGAAGGCACATTTAGTTATTGTGCAATCCAATCCATATTTTTCTTTTTCATAATTAAAGGCTCAATAAAAATGTGAATATCCTATATAATTGTGAGTTTGTTATGAAATTTCAATGGACGAGAAAAAACTACAAAAGATTGTTTCGTTTATAAAAATATTTTTTTATTCGTTCATCTCTCTACTTGAAAAGTTGAAAGAAACGGTTGTTTTTCTCTCTTGGCGAGTGATCATAGTTACATATCGTCTATCATTTTTATTCTTTTTTATCTTTTTGTTTTAACGTCGAATAGTCAATGTTATTATTCAACATGTCAAATTTTCAATATCTCCTCTATTTATGTGTCTCTCCAAAATTTAAGATCAAAATACTTCAATTGCCCTATTCCTCTTCGCAAAATCCTATAAGATTATCGGTTCACCTTTGATTTTAAACCCTCTTTATTGCTCAAGTTGAGGTTTATCAAATTTCTAACATCTCTTAATAAGTCTTATGTTTATCATAATATTTCTATTTGCATATATACTAGGCTCGTCTAGTTTTTAATTTTAAGAATTTTATATTATTACATATTTTTTCATCTCATTTTTTCAATTAATAGGGTCTTACGATTTACAATCCGATCTTACGATCTCGATCCTATAGCCTCATCAATCCAGGATAAGATCCCAATTTTAAAAATCTTCGATAAGATTACATACATCTGACCTTCCCAAACCTTGTAGTATCAAGAATTTCGTGCACTTGTCACATTGTCTTATTTTATTTTATTAGTTTTAGTGCAGCACTTTAAATTTAGGAAGTATTATTATTATTCTTTTTTAGTCTAAGCTTGTGTCGACAACTCTCTCGAGTGGTTGGCCACCGTAGTTTGGGCTAGGTTAGAGTAAATTCCTAAAGGGACTGGGGTAAGCAACCCTTATAGGGGGTGTAACAACGAATTAAACTTGAAATTTTTGACTTATCAAAAATCAAGCTTAACCACTTAACCCCTCAAGTTTAAATTGGATTTGATAGGCTGCTATATAGTTTATTTTTGAGCAATGTTATTGAGATCTAATTTATTGGTCTAATTTGTTGACCTAATTTACTATGACATTTGGATTGACTGTGGGCTCTATCAAACATTAGAGTTTGGTGTTGATTCAATGATTTCACTGAAACCACACTATTATGTCAATAAATTAGATCAGATTTTTAAATTCAAATAAAATCAATAATATTACATTGACCAAATTTTGGGACAAAATAAAGAACTCAAATGACATAACAACTGACTTAGACTTTTTTATTTAGTGTCATGTCATTTGGGCCCCAATAAAAATTTTAAATAATGTGTTATCATGTCATTGAAGCTCTTTATTTAATCTTAAAATTTAATCAGCGTAACATTACTGAAATAGAATTACTCTATTTTTTATGCATGATTAAGTGGAATTTATGAGGGGTTACTTATAAACCATGACTATTGGCTTTCGAGTGCCAATGACAAGGACATATCCAACAATTCTCGCATGAATGTACATCAAGCTTCTATACTTTCTACTTTTCTATGATGTCGGCTTCATTTTTTATTTTTCACAACGTTTTGAAGTTAATATTGAACAACTTTAATTCGAGGCAGGCATATCTCTCTATCTCTATGTATGCGAGTTTTGAGCAGATGTTATTATGACCATTTAGGTTGAATCTTGAAGTCTGTTGGTGACGAGCAGATATTAATATAAACATCTAGGTTGAATCTTGAAGTATGCTGTTGTCCGTTACCGCCTTCGCGACTGGAGGCACAACTGCTTTATGCGATGTTTAACACTCCTCACATGCCATACTTGTCTATTTCATATACTCAGACAAAAACACATGTTATGCTAAATTTTTTTCTAGTTTATATTTATATTATTATGTAAATTTGTCAGCAGGTACCATCCCACCTTCCCTTTCCAACATATCCAATCTAGAAACCCTAAATTTACAGCACAATTTTCTGCATGGAGATATTCCAGAAGAGATTGGGAATCTCTCTAACCTGAAGAGTTTAAGCCTGGGAAATAATCAGCTCACAGGCTCCATACCACTCACCATATTCAACCTCTCATCACTGCACAAGATTGCTTTGCAGAATAATAGCCTGTCTGGTAATCTTCCGGTGGATGTTTGCTCTCGCCTTCGAAAACTCGAGTCACTTTCTCTCTCATGGAATGAGTTATACGGCGATTTTCCGAAGAGTTTATATGCATGCTCAGCGCTTCAAGTTTTGGCATTGTCGTACAATAAATTTAGTGCACCCATGGCTGGAGACATTGCCAACTTGACCATGCTTAAAGAGTTATATCTTGGTGGTAACAACTTGAGAGGTATGATTTGTTAGAATATATTAAAATAAAAGTTTTAAAAACTACATAACTAATTATTTTGTATTAATTTTTCAATTTTTAACTTTACTATTGAAATTTAATTCTTGCATGTTCATGTCATTCAATTATAAAATTGATATGGGCTTAATAACTTGAAAGTTACATACTAATATATTTTAAAGAGTAATTAAGATGGTGCATATAAAACAAGATGGTTGTTTTGGATAGGAGATGGGTAATTTTTACCATTTTTTCTATATACTCCTCTTCCACCAGGTGTTGCTATTCTTTCTACGTATTTCTTTTTGTCTATTATTACATTTGCATACCTACAAATATTTGGTATTAGTTTACTTCAGGTAACTTCGATTCGAGTCAGGTTCACTCTTTCCTTCCAGTGGGCATGACCACTGAGGAGGTGTTGTTGCGAGCGTCTGGATTTGATCTTGGAGTCGCTGGTGTCCGTCAGTACCTTCACGCGGGGAGGCTCAGCTACTTTAGGACAATGTTCACACGACTCTTGGACTCACAGACCAGCTCNTTCACGCGGGGAGGCTCAGCTACTTTAGGACAATGTTCACACGACTCTTGGACTCACAGACCAGCTCTTTCTAATTTATAGTATCTATTTTATTTCATTTTAAGTTTATTGTTATTTTGTGTTTGTTTATGTGATATTGATATGAATTTATTAATTAAAATTATATATAATTATGCTAATTTCCCCAACAATCTAAAGTAGCTGAGGAAGGGTGCAAAGGCATAAATCACTTGCGAACGAAGTCCACTAATCCCATATTTCAACCATCAAGGTCGAATTTAAGTGCATAGTTGTTTGTGGAAAATATTCGCGGAAATCCTAAATATACGATACACTTAAATATGCTCTTAGTGCATAAAAAGAATATAGGTCAAATGAAACAATCACAAATGTCAGAAAAATCTGAACTCCGTGACTTTTAGATGCGAGGGTGTGGAAATATACGTCTAAGTTTGCAAACAAATATGGGTGTTCATATGTGAACAGATAATGCTACTTTCTTAAAATAAGAGAGAAGGGAGAGAATGAAAGAAGAAAATAGAAAAAGTAAGGAAAAGCAAAACAGTTTTCAATCTGAAAACATGTCCTAATGCCGGTCAACAATATCAAACTATTATTTTCCATGCTGAATTCACACTGGACTATATTAGATCTAATTCTACACTTAACAACAAATTTGTGACTTTGTTCGAAAAAAAATTGTGGTGTAATGTTTGTATTTTTCTAATTCTATACTTAATTTTTTGTTTATAACTTAATTCTAAATATTTTACATGGAAACGACTTTGGAATAAACAATTAATTAAAAAGAGTTTTAACTATGCTGTGAAAAGTTAATCCGTGAAGTTTCGAACTTACTTTTAGCTGGTCCACTTGATGACTGTAGGCAAGTATGAATCTGAGCTTTACCCCACATTTGAGAGGATGCTTTCGTAATTTGTATCCTTGACACTTAGATCAAAATAGAACAATTTTACCTTTACAATTACTCTCGCTTAATTTTCTTATTATATGAATAATGCATGATATCTTAGTATTCAATCTTTCTAATAACGACGAGAGAGGGAGAAGATATATTAATACCGTGTGTGCTCGCTTGTGTGTTTGTATAGATTGTTGGATTCAGTTACTTAAACATCGCTTAAGTATGGAAGCTAAAAAAAAAAAATCCAGATATAAACAATAATTAATTAGATCAAAGTATGAAAATTATTTTGTGGGAGCAAATTTAGAATATATTAAAACAAATACAAAAAAATTGCAACAAAAATTTGAGTGGGAGAAGTTGCCCTCCAAAGAGATATATTATCTTTGTATTCTTTTTTTATTGCGTTTGTTAGATCTGTGACCTTTTTTGTTTTATTTGTGTTGTGTTAGCTATTGAGGGTTTTTGTTTCGGATCTGATGGGGTCTCGGAAATCACAACCTAAGTCCAACGTATGCGAGGTTATTGAGTCTGGTGTGAGAGTTAGTTTGGTAGATTGGATTATCTATTGAAAGAGAAGACGCAGAAGGTAAGTGGTTCGCCTTAGCCAATAGGTCAAGGTTACGTCCATTGTAATGGAGTCTCTTGTTCCTTGATTTTGTATATTGAACTTCGATGTATACAGTCAGGATTCAGGCACTGGGCCCTTACAGATGGTGTTTAGCTTATTGAGTGTACATGGTTGATCAATGTTCTCTGGGTCTCTCTCTTTCTTGTAGGGCACTATTCTATATATATATGGGATGCCTTTTTTTTTGTGGTTTCTGGCGATTTCTTCTACATTTTACCAATCCTGTAGGGAGCTCCTGTCCTTGTCCTGCAAAAGCCTTTTCCAGCCAGCGCCACGGTGCCCACGATCTCTAGGGCGTTATGCTTCACCATCTTCTGCGTGCCGGAGGATGTAGCTATGTCAGGTTTCAGAGATGGTCCCCCTATCC